TAACAGTCTGCTGATTGAAAAGTTTTCTGATTTGAGTTCAATCCCCAAACATTAAAATCCATATTCACCATGAGTCTTTAGTGAGTCAGAGATGGAAGAGCATCAGATCTGATTCAGGCTCCCACACCACCTCAGTCATTACATATGCAGTCAGGTAGAAATGATGTGTCGTTAGTGGCATCACTTCCCTGATTCAGTCTGCAGTCTCAAGAGCTATTCCTGCTCTCAATCCTGATAAATGTAAATTGTTGAAATGGAAAACAAGCACAAAGTTTGCAATCTAATGATAAGAAAATTGTTCTAAAAAAAAAAAACATTTGTGGTACTATCGGTGACATTCTGCTGTGGAGAAGACTGAAAAACTGCTGAAAACTGCATTTGTTATATTATTTTTTTTATGTAGTCCAAGTTATTAAAAAATGTTGTTACACATGATCAGTATAGGGTGTCAGAGGGTGTAAAACAACATACAAAACAAAAAAGGTGAGGCCAAACTCAGGGTCAAGGAAGCCAAGGTTAATCTGCTAAACTCTGGTTAGTGTGTTAAGATGGTCAGACCTACAGGTCACCTATATAACAACATCATCCAAGTACACATTACTTGGGTGACATTCCAAGAGCTGTGTTGGAATGTCACCCAACACAGCATTCCACATTCCAAAGACCGTTTCAGTGTACAGCAAGAAATGACCTGGGATCACAAAAGCTGAAATCTCTAAGGCTCTGAAGATGAAGGGGTCCTGCTGGTAGCCTGTCAGTAGGTATACATTTGTTTAATATAAAGCTTGTCCAATGTTGTCAATGCAGTCTTCCATACCTGGTAATAGAAATAAGTCTGGTATTGCAATTGTACTTACCTTGCAAAAATAAATGCAAAACCAAAGGGAACCATCAGACTTTGGAGTTTAGAGACAAGGGGAACTCCAGAAACTTTTACTTGGTCTGACCAGATTATGTTCAAGAAGGTATTCTACCTTTTCTTCATTAGTTTTCTTTTTAGTGGAGGGTAATATTACTGGTGTTGATAAT